ATATATATATATATATATATATATATATATATATATATATATATATATATATATATATATATATATATATATTGATTATGTTCCGCGATTAATATATTCTTAAAATTTAAAAAGATTCCTAAAAATATTAATTTATGATACAGCTTCCTTAATGCAATGGCGCAAGAAAATGTGCTAACGAAAACAGCTAATATCTTGCATGATTTTTATCTTGAGGAAGAATGAATTAATATTTTTGCATAAAATTATCCTCCACTGAGATTATTGCTAATTGGGGCTCGAGACTTAAAACATACCGTGATTTTGTCGATGTTATGCAACGTACAATTTTTGTGATAATATTTCGCGGCCGCTCTTGCTTGGATCTTTCTCATGTAGGTTCTGCAAAAGGTCGAGGCACACGAATGCGGGTAATCGCGGGATCTAAATTAGTTTTACCAGGCGGTAGATTAAAATTGATTAAACCTGACCGAGCGCGCTCGGGTGCCGAAGTTATTATCCGCCATTTGTTGATGATACCACCACCTTTGTAGAAGTGCTTGACTTTGCGTTGGGAAAAACGCGTCGGCATTTTGCCGCGAGACTCGTGGTAAGACAGAAAGAAGGAAAGAGAAAGAGGAGAAGAGGGAGCAGCGATTTTCTAAATGCCAAATCGCCCGTAAAGATCGACCGCACGTAATACTAACCGCAAATGGATATTCCTCGATACTTGCGTTCTTTCCTTCAATAATCCTGGGTTCTGGCGAATCTGGAACTCACGCTGGCCTTACAGTGATTCTTTCCCGATAATCGCCTGAGCAACATTCGAATGAAATAGCATACCACACACGTTGTCCGTTTCGCTTAGGATACGTAAATTGTTAAACGCTCGTTTATTCCTTCAAGAAGAATTCAAATTTCATAAAATATACAAAGAAGTATAGTTAGGAGAAGAGGTATGGTTTTGAAAATATTTTTCTCTTATTAATTTCAGTGTCTTTCAAACTTGCTAAAATGTTATACATAGTTTCGTTATAAAAAAAAGATGCTCCATCTTACGAAATCCTTCGATATCGAATTAAATTTCAACTCAATTCAATGTTTCAACTCAATTATAATTCATATTAATGACTTATAAATATTGCTACACGTATGAAAATGCTGACTTTTAAAGCGTTATAAATTATATATTGGGAAACGCTACGCGTGTATATTATACGAAATCGTACGGTAATAAAAAGATAACATTTAGTCTGTAGCTGCTGAGTGTGCATTAACTTGTAATTAGCATTTCAATATCGAAGCACGATATTCATCTTCAAGTGCGAATTTCAGCGATGTGGTTGGCGTCGTTTCCGCGCTTTCGATATAAAATGCGATTCAGCATTTATCGCAATAGCGGGATATATAGCGTTGATATTTGTTATCAGCAATTATATTATCGCTTCTTGCTTTATAGTTGGACATACGATTAAACGCATGTCCAATTGCAACTCGACAAATACCTATTATTTGCTCGAGCGCCTTTGCGAAGGAAACGCAATGCGAAATTTACTCGGAAATTCTTATTTGAATAAAATGGCGGATACCGCGGTGTTGCCAATGAGTCGGTTGAGAATGTGTATACAAGATCAAAGAAAAATGTAAATATCGTAGTAATAACGTTGCGCTTCGACGGGATAAAGATCGAAAGGCAGAAATGTACGATAATCATAATTACGCGTATCTAATTACACAGGTTTTGAATGAACGAGAGATACCGCGTTGTGGCGAAACGTTGAAGAAAATTACTTTACATTTTATGTATCCTTTGCATTTTTTAGCTATTCCAGCAAAAATTAGTTTAACAGTTTTGTAGAGAGAGCGAAATATTGAGATCGCAAACACACGTACTGTTACATAACCTCACTAAAATTGAGAATTATCTCTATTTCACGCATAAATCCTCATACAATCTGCCATAGAATGTGATATTACATTTCATCCGTGTGATACTAATTAGGCTAAAAACAAGGATATTCCGGTTTAAACCGAGTGATACGCTAGCGCATTTCAGCTTTTACTTTTTTACTTTAGTTTAAATTTTGGTACAGAGGAACATTTCACGAATATGCGCGCGTCGGTGGAATGTTAGCAGAATGTACAAGTAATCTCACATGGTAGCGAGTCTACCATAAATTTGGATAAACGTTGTTGTATGTTTACCATAATTTCTCTGTTGCAGTTTATGCAACATATACGATGCAGAAAGCACATAACTATTTCATTATTATTATCCTAATTGTTGTTTATTATTAGAGCATTATATTTTTCTCAACGCATGCATTTCTGTTAAACGTAAAGCTATCAGATTAGATAACAAGTATGTGAATGAAACGATAGAAGGAGCAAAGTATAAAAGTGTATACACGGAAAAACAGATACATAGTAGTTTAAGCAATAATCGTAAAATAAAGTTCTCCAAAGCTATTAAAGAGATACTACGAGCAGATATAGGAGAGACATGAAATAATATTCCACGACAATCAGTAGCAATTATCGTTCTCGCGATAATAAATTATTACCTTCTTTTGTAGAAACTCGTGAAGAGAAGAAATTTAGTCTTAAATTCTTTAATTACATAAACATTAATTGCGCAAATAAACTTTTTATGGTCCGAAACTTTTTATGGTTATCCGAAACTCAGAATGGTGTGTCTAAAAAATTTATTTTTTAGTAGTCAAATATCTCTCTTTAATGCCAAATGCAAACATTTAGTAAATATTGTTAATAAGCAACAGTGCAAATGGAAATTAATTAGAAAAAAGTAATTTTAGTTATTTTTTCATACATATACTTTAATATAATTTATATGTACATATATTTATTTAATTATATATATATATATATATAATATAGATAAATTCTATATAAATAATGAAAGAACATTATATATATATATATATATATATATATATATTCATAAACATTAATATTAATATTATAAACATTTATATATATAAATGCTTATTATTATTAATTACATTCTTGAATAACTATATTGATTATTATGAAAATTATAGGTTATATATAGAAAAGAAATAAAAGAATCATTAAGTAATCTAATCTGTCATTTTAGCAAGATGATATAAGTACTTATAAATATAATAATTATTTAAGAGTTTAAATTAGTTTTATAATTTTATTGGATTATGTGTGTGAGGTGTGTGTGTGTGTGTGTGTGTGTGTGTGTGTAAATATATGAATATAAATATAGAATTAAAAATATAGAATTAAAAATAAATCATTCCCATTTCCTTTCCCCGTTAACACGGAGCAGCAGTAATTCATATGAAGACGAACCAAGGTTATTCGAGAATAATCGGATGTTTACGCAGCTTGAATCGCTGTGGTATAGCGAGTAAGTTATCATTATCGTGATCACGCGTTTGCGTGGCTAATCACATATGGCGATCAAACGTGTGAATTGCGATCGCGTTTCGGCAATGATAATTGTTTTTTTTTATTCTCTTATTGTCGTTGTGTATAACTTTTTATTTACACTACTTTATTTACACCATATCGGTACGATATAAATGTGCGCTATACTCGAAAATATCGGATGGAGTTTTTCTAACGATGAACTGTTTGGTAACGTTTGGCGATGTAAATAACGAGATCGTTATTTTTCACGGTAATCCGAATCCGCGATATTAAATATTATGTTGTTTGTTTCGGTATTCAATCCTTTTTTTGTGCCTTTTTAAAATCGATGCTTACTGAATATAACCGTCCGATTTTCGGCGAGGGAGTCAAATATAACTCCGAGAAGTGTGACAGGAGAATATTTCATATTGCTTGTGTGCGCGGGCATGCAACATCACGTACGTGTTAAACCGTTGTACGTGGTGGGAACTAAGTAAGTATTGGGAGTTGGAAATTTCGAACAGATTACAACGAGTTAACCCGAGGGGAAGTTTGTGTACACGGGGGCAGCACCCGCTCAGATTCGCCGTGCAACATCTCCGTAGTGAGATTGTTGTTTCGCAATGAACGAGATTGGACGCGATCGCAAATAATTAACTTGCCCCTAATTGTACGCAGCTGCATGCAGTTCGGCGACTTCGCTCCGGCATCGACTTCCAGACGTGCGCGCGCGAGTCCTCCCGAATGGTTCGTATGTTTCCGCACCATTTAGAGGATATCGTGTAAGAGTGATTAAATGAATGCACGCATGAATAACTCCCAAGATATTGATACGATATCACGTTGCGATATCAAGCGTCTTATCGGGACTCATCACGCACCTACAATCGGATTTTCGGATAAGCATCTCAGTGTTTAACTGTAAGTCGACTACGATCATAGCCATGTTGCTTATACTGTGCCTGACATTAATAGCTTCCGCATCGTCTTTAGATCCTAGAATTATCGGCGGCTCATCTACTACCATCGACAAATATCCATATCAGGTCAGTTTTAGAAGAGAGAGAGAAAGAGAGAGAGAGAGAGAGAGGGGGGGGGGGAAGAGAGAAAGAGAAAGAGAGAGAGAGAATTTACTTGAGTCGAAATTTTGATCTTACATTCGATTTTAATCTATTTTGAGATTCTAAAACTCATTAGAAAAATCTATTTTGAGATTCTAAAACTCATTAGAAAAATCTATTTTGAGATTCTAAAACTCATTAGAAAAATCTATTTTGAGATTCTAAAACTCACTTTTTTGATTCTATTCAAACTTTGCCGAGAAGACCACTTTAGAACCTACAAATGGCATTGTATGCGTTTTCTACCTTTTACTTAGAGATGCTAAGTAAGAGTTCACTTTCCATGTGTACTAAGGTGTAGTTGTAGCATGAAATAAGTTTCTTAAGAATTTGTTGAAACTTGTACTATATGTAGATTTAAATATGATCTAATTATTGGCGCAATTATAAGTTAAATATTCGAAAGCTGAGATATTTACAATGTGAAAATTGACATTTTTAATATGTATTAATATGTCTTTATATTAAGTTGAAGACAACATTATATTTTTAATTTTAATTACCAAACTAGATTTATGAAAAACGCTTCCAACAGGTATCCATTCATTACGAGGGCAAGCTCTTTTGCGGAGGCTCGATTATTAGCAACCAATGGATTTTAACAGCGGCTCATTGCGTTTACGGGTATGCGTGCAACATTTGTTTTCAACAAATTCTCTATCTTTTAGTTCGGATTAAATAGCATGAGTCGCGCATCAAAGAAATCATCAGGCAGTACTAAGGATTAACCGATAAACAATTTCTTTGACTAAAATAATTGGCAAATCAATAATCAAAATTAATCAATCGCCATATATAAGAACACAAGTAATTTTATCGGTTGGTGAAATTAATTATTAATACAAGTAAGGAAAAGATGTTAGTAATAATAGTTGTTAGTGCGAATATGTATTTAATCAAAGGAAGGATAATAATGTCTGACAGTGTCAACGCATGCGCTGAATATTTATTCGAATTTCAAAACGCACGCGGTGAATCGACGTTCCATGTAAAACTAACTCTTTGTCCCACATAATTATTATTAATAAAACTCGTTATTCTATCTCTAACTATTTAAATTATGCATATTTTATTTTTTATTCTTTTTAGAGTATTATTAATTTTAAGTGTTGCGAGAAATATTGTCTCAGACGAACCTAGATTAATTATTAATCAAGTTTTGACTATACATTGATTAATAATCAATTTCATCAGTCGATTAAATTATTCGTGATTATATATATAAAAAAGAAATTTTTGTTGGATTAATCAATTTTTCTAGTGAAACCATACAGATAAACGATATAGATAAATGATACAGATAAACAATACAAATAAACGATACAGATAAGCGATACAGAAATTCTAATTGAAGTTATGAGAATTTAGTCAAAATTATCAAGAGTTGAGTTAAACATTCCAAACTCAAACAGAATTTTAATAATTTCAATCGAAATTTTTGAATCATATTTCATCAGAAATTAGTTTGTTAAACTAAACTTTTCTTTTCCGTGTATATGACGATTGATTCGCCGATTCTTTTAGTTAAAGAAAACTTTCATCAATTAATACTCAACATTGTCATCAGGCTAATTAACCCTCAAAGTGGATTGTTATTTTGCATCAACGTGAACTAATCGGTCTATTATCTTCGTATCTTATTAAATAATATTGAGGTGTACTCAAATAGTTTTAAACAAATTCATGAAAGTTTATTGAAATGTTAATTAAATTCCTAAACCATTGAATTAAATAGTTTATTTTCACTATTTATATTTATTGCTTTTTTTTAGAAGAAATCATCTGTTTAAAATTTAGAGTTTCTTGAAAATTGTAGTACAAAATTTAAAATTTTCGAGATTTGACTTATGAAAGAAATGATTCGCAAATTCTTTAGTAGAGTTTATATATAAGAGTCTATATATAGAGTTTAAAGTTGAATGAAAAAAATTAACAAAAAATAACCGTCATTCAATGAAAAGATAATTATTGCAGTGCGTGAGAATAGTATATTATAAGAGAAATAAAGGAACATTAAAATTGTAATAATATAAAAATATAATTCATGTATTCTTTGCATTTGAAATTAAATATATCATAAAATATAAAGTAGTTATAAGTATGTTAAGTACAAGGAAAGCATTGTAAATACAAGGAAAAAATAATTCATATTTGGCAAGAACTCAAAAATGTTTCACAAGCAATTTAGGTAAAAAATTTTATAAAAAGACAGCTTTAGTCATTCAAACTTTCAAAATATGTTTATTTTTATCAGAAAAATTAATTTTATTTTTACTAGAAAAATATATTTATTTTTACCAGAAAAATAAATATTTACAAAAAACAATTTTCCAAAACTGCTTTTCAAATTCGACTTTTATCAACGAGAACCAAATTCATAGATTCTGTCGCCGACTTGTATAGCTCGGCAGATGAGCAGGAACAAGGCTTCTGGCTTGGTAGGCTTCCTTATCACAAACTTTTTTCCCACTAGGGACCCGCCGGTCAAAATGCGTAGGCTTCCGGAAAATCTTATGTAGTTGAAATTGCTTGGACATATTTCACCCATGAGCCCGATTTGAGGGTTAAAAATATAACATTTTAGTGGAAAACTGGCATCCTTCATGATCCGAGTCGGAAGCAGCTATCAGGACAAGGAAGGTATTTTGCTCGCAAACATCACCACCATTTACTACCATGAAATGTATGACGAGGATACCTACGAATATGACGTAGCTCTAATCAAAGTGTGTAGCCGATCACAGTTTAGCTATGTTTTTCTTGCGATAAATACGACGTATCTCGTACAGTGAGAATATTTTCCAGCTGCCTAAACCCGTGAGCTTGGGACCGCACGTGAAAAGTATCGCTCTAGCTACCCCGTCGACGGTGGTTCAGCCTGGCTACAAGGCAGTTGTCACAGGATGGGGCGAGCTGTCGGTGAGTCCTTTCCACTTCATTCATCGCATCGGTTCGCGCATCCTTCCGCGGGCTCGCTTCGACACGTTAGCCGCTATAGTCAGAATGCTATAGTCGACGGTGACGTTTGACGAGACTGATTACCTGCGTGTAAACGCTAAGATCTGTTTGCCGATCGCTATACGTAGTCCGGTTATCGCGACAAACGTTGACGGGATTTTGGACGAACGCGCGCGGATGTCCGCGGTAAAGCTCGCGGTTACTGATGTTGTGTACGAGCGCGCTGTGTGAATTTCAGGCAGGCGGCTCGACCTCGAAAGTGCTACAAGTCCTGACGATGCCGGTCATCGATCAGGAGGTTTGCAAAAAGATCTACGCTCGTTATGGAATTGTGACACCGGAAATGCTCTGCGCCGGCTACACCACCGGCGGGAAAGACACCTGTCACGTACGTGTCACGTCCGATCGTTTTATGTTGGCGGATCGATGAGTACTTATATGATATCTTCTGATTGGACATTCCTTCTGCCTGCTCTGCACGCATGCAAAACGAAATACTACACGGAAAAAACAATTCTGTTGGTGCAACCGAATTTTTGGTTGCTCAGAGATTAGAAAACTCGGTTGTAGGAATAGAAAAATTCCTTCATGAGGCTTCTGTATAGTTAATTATTCTCAGTTGTCTCAATCGAGTTCTAATATCGTTGAATGTTCAGACGAATATTTTCGGTTGCGACAATAGAAATATTAGTTTTCATAACAGAGATATCGCTTCTGATCACCTAATTTTCAGTTGGTTCCTATTTGGTTGCATCAACTGAAATTTTTTTTGCGTGTACCTCCGTGTTTTTTCTTCCCTTCTTTTTTCCTCGAAACGTTCCGTGCAGAAGAAATTGCTCAGTTGGTTGCAAACGCCATTTTTTCTGCGCGCATGTAATTGTTGACATTATATTAAAATGTTAGATTGTGGTGAAAGAATACATATGAAATTTCTCGTTACATAATTTTGTTCACAAACGTGTAGATATACTTTTCCTTTTCTTTTTATAACACCGGGAGAATTAATTATTTTAACATAAATGCACTGAAACGTTTGTTAAATTAAAATAATTTCACTTCACTTCCACGATCCGCCGTAATTTTACTTTCGGGGACGAAAGTAAGAGCTTTATTTCTCTGCGACACAGGGAGACTCCGGCGGTCCGCTCGTCTACAACAGTGTCCAAATTGGGATCGTGTCCTGGGGTGCTCAATGTGGAAGTGTTGGATTTCCGGGAGTATACACGCGAGTATCCACCATACGTAGTTGGATAACCAAGCGGGCGAACGTGTAGCGGAATTAATTTTTCTCTTCTTCCTACGTTCTCCGAGATAGAGGAAAAGCGGTGTACCGTTGAGAAAATATTTGTTTCTGTTTAACCGCGTCAAAACTGTACACTGAGAGAAAAAGTTTTGCTAATTTAACAAAATACCCGCAACAAATGATATGTTGATACGGGACAGCAAATGATCCCACAGTAAAAATAAGTGATTTGTCACTTTCAATTTACTGTTTTAAGTCTCCATAACAGAAGTGTTAACACTAATTAATAACTTAGGCAATGTATGTTTGTTAAAATGATAAATTACGAGAAATATGATTTGCAACTGTAAATCGTTCGATTTATTTCCCTGACGATTATTAAACAGTAAACGCGCTTTTGTTCTACTAACCGAGAAATTTCTCTCAATGTACGATATTATACAAAAGATATCGTTTGCAAATTATATAAATAAAAAAACACATACACGTTTGGTACGTACAAAAATTGTATAAATAAAAAAGTTGCGAGTGCTCAAAGATAGAAATATGTTTGCGGCAATAACAAAGCGCTATTCTAAAATGGAAATCGAAATCGAGCAATTATTCGTTGAGTTTGATTGCATTTTCAAATAGTTTGAGCGCCGATTATTCCGTTACGGTTTACATTTTTACAAATAAATAGATATTATTTTCATGTTAAAACGTATCGATTTCCCTTCACGTTTCAAAGTCAACCGATTTATTTGCAAACAATGTGGAGTACTAAATTCGCGACGAAAAAGTTTAAGACCGTGATTTCTGTGAGAACGTTGCACAACGCATTCCATTTATCATCGAAGCGTGTCGACGTTCGAAAAACGTTGAATCTAAGGTGTATCTTAATGGTGATTCCAAGGAAACAAATAAACTAACGTTACAGCACGTTCATTGATCCTTTCTTCAAGCACGAAGCGAGCAGTACCGATATGAGCTCACGATCGTCAATAGACAATATCTTGCCGGTAAAGTTTCAAGTACGGCTCTTTAAGAGGTTGTTAGAGTCGATGACGAGTTTCAAAAATATCGATAAAATAGAGATAATCTACATATACAGATCTTATGTAAATGTGTGTTGTTTTGTTATACCATATTTAGCGGGAAACTATAAAGCATATATAGAAATCTTTCTGCAATTTTTTTAACCGATATTCAATATCTTCCATATTTTTAAGCTTCTAAATTCAAATGTAGAGGTACAACGTTATTCTTTGAAATTTTTCTGAGTAGAGCAATCGGTATATACAAGCTAAAGATTTTTTATATTAGGCAAATATTTAACTGACAGCTAATCTGATAAGCTAATTTATACTCAAAGTGTAAATTTTTAAATTTTTACCGTTCTTATTATATATTGAACAATATTCCAATTCATTTACGCATATATTTTTATTGTGTAAAGGTATTTGTAATTCTGCGGAGGCAATATATATGTAAAGTAAACTTAACGAAGAAAGGTTAGTGTTCCGTCGGTAAAAATTTCAACTCCAGTATCCTCTTAGGTACTCATTTACTCATTTACTGGACAAGTCACCCTACATAATTGCGAAGCGTTTTCGCGAACTGTAGTTGCGACAGCGAGTGATCAGTCCCAGGTGGTAACGCGAATAATTTCGCGCGATGCAATAAATATCATCTCGCTGGCCTTTACACTCGCCTCGACGCAATCATTCGTCACGCGAGATTATTAATTTCAGCGTCGACTTGGTGAGAGCCGGTGCAAGTCCGGGTCACCGTGGCATTGAATAAACGCCCCGCACAGGTGGCTGGCTCGTAAAGGGTGGCACGAACAGTTGATGTTCATGACCGACCGACCGACCTACCTAGATACTCTCTGCGCACCGAATACCGTCGTAAAGGGCATTGCTATTGTACGTGCCGGTGGATGATCGTCTTCGTCTCGTAAAGAGCGTCACGCCGGGATGTCGTGGCCGCGGGAGGCTGCGTTTCTCGCTTCTGGCCGTTAAGAATCATGGCAGACGTGGCATATTAATGCAGCGCGCATTACAGCCGGTAAGCGATCGATACTCCCACGGATATATCAGCCCTTGTTGTCTGGCGACGCTGCGCGCCTGGTCTAGCCTTGCTCTCGCGCGGATATATCCGGAATTTCTGATAACGATGAATTATATGTGCCGCTCTAACCCTCGAGCGTCGCGGCATCCCCGAGTCTGCAAGTTCGCCGATGTGGATTCGCATCGCACGGCTCCGGCTCCTTCGCCGTAGTAGTGTTTACTTCGCTTTTGGCTTTTCGTTCAAAAAGAGCCCCAGCTCTCCGGGGAGAGCACTATCCTTTGACTCGAACTGTTCTCTATAACGGCTACGTTTAATTGCTTCCCCGTGAAGCAGTTTAATTATCTTCCGAGCGGTTCGCTCGATCGCCCTGCGGATGTACAATAAAGCACGAGGCGAGCATTTCAACATTCGTTTTCGCTATTTTTGTTTCACAGCGACTCTGTCCTGCGAGCGGATGACGACGATAAACAACTGCTGGAATTTAGGTCGGGTCCTCGGGCGTGGTTGGGCAATCGGACATTTTTCCTACGCTTGGAAAATTGATACTGACGTCAATTAACCCGAATACCAAAGTAAAAAGGACGTGTATCCATCGGTAAGCAAATAGTTTGCCCGCGAAGTCTCCACGATGCGCACACAGTGTGTGTTTCTATTCCTGTGTTTCGTCCTGCGGGCCGGTCTATCGCGAGGTCAACGCATCACCATAGCATGTACGTAAATATTTAATAGCGTTTCGGAAAGTGACAGAGGAGAGGATCGGTGAGAGGACGAATTGTATCCAAATAAACGGTGTCGAACACGATATCCGTGATCACTTGACAAACGGGACGTCGTGACAGTTGAAATCGATCGTCAGGATTCATCAACAGTAGCGTGATATAATTGGTATTTTTTACTTTTCAATGACTATCGAATTTCTCGTTAGTGTAATCGCCGCCTTATTCTATTATGCCTCAACTCGCACGTTATTGTCGCATTCGTGATTGATAACGACAATGCAGCATTTCGGCCGTGGATTTCGAAAAAAATCACAAAGGCGCAGTCGCATCTGTATTTCAATGACGTCTACAAACGTCCGCGTCTTAACGATCCTTCCAGACTCGTTAGAGCCGTCCTGGCTCCTGTTTTGCGCCGAGAGTTAAATTCTCGCCAGTTGGTAGTTGGCGCGAAATCGCCAATCGCGGCGAAACACTAATCCGAATATTGGCCATTCAGACGACGAAGGGCGTATTGTTGGGGGCCAGAGGACCAGTATCGAGGAACACCCGTACCAAGTAAGTGCGCCGAGCAGGCGACAGCGAATACAAGTTCGTCGTACAAAGGAACTTCCGGATTTGCTTTACGATCGAAGTCACTGTTTAAGATAACGGGAATCGAAAAGGGACTTATAGAATCGGGTAACGTCGGCCGCGTTCATGGCTTCACGCGATACCACATACTCTCCTCGATCAACGGAGATTACTCGGCGATTTCATTCGTTCGGGAGTGCGGCCGGATGTAATACGAGATTGTACGTTGGCTATCCGAAAACCGAGAAGCAAATCTCCGGCATTCGTCGAGGATTCTATTGTCGAGATTAAAGCCTGCCTACGCGTTTGCGGGATATCCGTCGATATAGTTCGCGCACTGAAAAAAAGTATTTTGTTGTCGAAAGAAAAATTTTGTACACTAGACTATAAAGTGACATCGACCGATTGCAACCGAAAAGTTTAATTGCAGCTATGTGTGCTTTGTTTTCTCTAATAATATATGTACTTGACACAAGTAAAAGATATGTAGTGGAAACTGAATCTAGTTGCCACACTTTTTATATACTAATTTTTATATACTGAGGAAGAAAAAATATAAGCAATATTTTTTAATATATTCTGCATATTTTTATATAAATATAATCTTTAGATATGAAAGAAAAAAAAATATATATATAATAGTGGTGCAAATGTGATTATCCATCCCACACTCAAGATAGTTGACACATGCATGGACGTAGGAATATTTGGACCGAGTATAAAGTGTCTGGAAGCGTAGGATATAAAATTTCAGAAGTAAAGGGAAATCTCCATCGCGCGGCTATCTTAGTTGATTCAAATTAGTAGATATATAATACACGATATGTGTGTGTATATATATATATATATATATATTTTTTTTTTTTTTTTTCACATCGTGTGCAGTCGCGTAATTTTAACCAAGGCATTGTTAAATTTCGAAGTTATGTATTTTATAAACAAAAATAAGAATAAAGAGTCTGAACAGTAAAGAGTTCTATTTTCTTTTACAATATATGTCTGACACGAAAGGCTGCAAAAGTAGAAAATCGTAAAACGAAAAAATAGAATAAAATTAGAATGGAGACAATTTCATGCTGTCGCTATCTTGGTAGATCATATCTGTAATCATCTCTTTTTCCTTTAAGCTTCAATCTAATGGAAATATGCTCCGTCTTACGTCGTATGATCACATGTTTCCCATGTAAAGGAAAAAAAAGACAAGTGATTTTGTTTTAAAGTTATAAGTGTTTTATTAATGTTAGTCATATCTTTATATATATATATATATATATATATATATATATATATATATTAATAAATATTTTTATAATAAATGTCTTATATATACAGGGTGTTTCCTGTTGAGCACTTAGAATATCTCTGTTTCCTTTGATGATATGAAAAAAAATCAGAGGCAAAAGTTGTTCAAAAGGATTAATATTTTGGTTTTTTTTTATTGTCATTTTTTTATGAAATTTTAAGGTCATCGAGATTTTTTTAAATGAAATGACATATTTTTAATATTCATTGTCAGTAATGCAGTGATGTAGCTTACAAAAAACAAATTCAACCATATATTGATAGTATATATTGATGTTCAAATGACTCTGAATTACAAAAATCATGTTTAGGAAAACAATATGCTTCTCCATTTATTACGTAAGATATAAGCCTTGTGATAACTGACCCTTGTATGACTTCTAAACACGATCTCCTAATAACAACTAAATCGTATGTACTAAATATTTTCCAAATACAAAAATAGTTTTTTCAGTGCGAGACGATCGCATCGTTCGCGTGTCGCACCCGCGGCGTTTCCTGAGAGCCGACAAATTGAAGCAATGATCTTTATTTAGCGTCACGCTCGTGACGGATATTTATGAGCGCCGCACGAATCGACAATCTGCAACAAAATCAGTGCTTCCGCCGAATTTCTAGGTGTCCCTGCGACAACGCAATCGGCACGTCTGCGGCGGCGCCATCATTAGCGAGGATTGGATCATCACCGCGGCTCACTGTGTGCAATATGCTGGGTATATAGATTTTTGTCGATTTCACATTAACGGGCGCTTTGTTAAGCCGTTTGACGGATTTCTGGCCGATGCTTCACGTACCTCGCTCTCGTGTTCCAGCTCTTTCCCGCGATACCTCGTGATAAAAGCGGGTACCTCCGATCTCAACGCGGACGGCACGGTCGTACGGGCGAAAGAAATTATTACTCATGAGAATTACAGCCGTCGGAACAGCGATTATGACATCGCCGTAGTAAAGGTGAGTGGCGTCGAGTTCGGTGAAAATCGTTTGCGTCACGAACGATTAGAGCATTATTATCGGGATTGTGAATTCGATGGTCATTGAACTGCCCGAGCTATAGCTTGTTGTGCCGTAGTACGTATAGGAATACTAAAAAAAAGTTTTTTACCGAAAAGAAGAACTATTATCTTTTATGCTGAAACCAAATATGACTTTTAAAATAACGTAGTGCTTCAAATTTTTGTTATAACCAAAAAGGCTAAAAATTAAGAATTTTTCATATTCTATGTAGGACATACATATTTTGATTAAATTTTCTTAAAAAAAAAGGTTAAAAACAATAATCATGTACATTTATATGTTGAAACATATTATATAAAATTTTTAATAAGCGAGATGTTAAGTTATATGTACAGGCTTGATTTCTGTGAGTCTCTTTGTCTCTCACATATAGCGTGCTTCATTTCTGTAAGTCCCTTTGCCTCTCACATATGGAGCGCTTTATTTCCGTGAGTCTTTTGTCTCTCACGTATAGGACATTAATGATATCATTATCATATCATTAATATTAATTAATATTTTTAATGATCTCATTAATGATCTCATTTTCACAAGGTGTCCCATTTTAAATACCCTAGACAAATATCTCGAAAAATATGGAAGATATGGAAAAATATTTCAAACAAAAGTTATATGGTTCGATAGAGGACATAAGAAGGTACCTTTGGTTTGACCTTGGGTTGCGCTGCCAAGGTCAGGTCGAGGTCAACTTTGCTTTTTTAAGTAGAAATATATATTTTTTTTATTACGTAGAATTTTATTCTACGTAAAGAAATAAATAACTTTTATTTGAAAAAAATTTTTATACGACCTCTATTTTCTAAGATATTTACGGAAATATCTACAAAATTATAGGATTCAATAATTTTTTACTCAAATTCTATCAACTTTACCGAAAAATAGAAAGAGATAAAAATTATCCATTTTCTTCGCATAGAGCTCTGAGAATTTTTTCAAGATTTTTAAAAAACTTTTTAGTACTCTAGTACTTTAGTACTTTAAAAAGTGCAAGAAAATACAGTACTAAAGAGAAAATAAACTGAGCAATCGAAGAAACAACTCGCAGTAAACACGAGTCGCGGATTATCAAAATCATTAGTGAACAAATGAGAGTCGATTTACCGAATGTTCCAATGTTACTTACTTTCGCGTGATGAGAGTGCCGTTAGATACATTTTGCTATTCGTTGTTCACTTTGTGAAGTTGTCACTATCGTATCTCGATATCGTGGTGGTTTATTGTTGCAGCTGGAGGAACGGCTCGTGTACAATCGCCAAATAAAACCAATTTCGCTGGCGTTGATGGCCGATCATTATGCCACCCATAGCGTGGCGGTGGTTACCGGCTGGGGAGCATTAAGAAGCAACGGCTTGTCGACCAATCAGTTACGCAAAGTGGAAGTGCCCCTCGTTTCGAATGCAGAGTGCTCGAGTTTATACGAAAACCGCACGATCACCTCGAGGATGCTGTGTGCGGGTTACACGAATGTCGGCGGCAAAGATGCCTGCCAGGTAATTTTTTGTCTTTCCCAAGGTAAAAATGAGCGCCGAACATAAACAACAAACGCATTATAGTCATATTACAAAGATTTGTAGCTGCGGCTACGATTACAACTCCTTTTCATCCAAGAAAATAGCGACTCGCAACTGCCATTTGACCGGCTGCCCATTTTTCCGAGTCGCGGCTGCAGTCGCAGCCAATACAAACACGTGACACGCCTGTCACGACATTTGTATAATAAGTTCATGACCGTATTTTCTGTACACACATAATGGGTGTTTACGATAATCAATCGAATCTGTGATCGGATTATTCAATCGATTGATATTGAAGAATTTCTTAGACTAATCGGATTAATGTTTCTATCTATGAATTGATCGGATTAGATCAAGACATCATGGAAAAGCACACGTGTTGATCCACTCGCACATAAAGAGTATTATAAAATAGAAATAGAAAAATAGATACATACATAATAATTATAATGGTTATTATACTCTTCATGTATGAATGTGCTTTTCCACGATGTCTTCATCTAATCCGATCAATTCATAAACGGAAACATTAATCTGATTCTTCAATACCAATCGCTTGAATGGTCCGATCACAGATCCGATTGATTGTCGTAAACATTCAATTATGTCGAAATAGTTTTTAAAAAAGACAGACTACCGTTTAAGAAAGGTTATAGTGGTAGTTTTTTCTTCTCCTCGCCATCCATGGTTTTGCCCATATTTTCCTGCGTGGCAAAATATTAAAGTTCTCTGTAATTATGGCAAACGTCAAAAGTGCACATATTTTCTTTATACGATGTTTTGGACGCATGAGATTTATATCCATATTTCAATAGTTGTCCTTACGACGACTAACGGACGCAGAATGTAAGTAGCAGCCGTTGCTACTTACGATTAGAAAAACGCTTGCTAATTACGATTAGAAAACAAACAATCGCAATCGTAATCGCGGTCGCAGCCGCGAGTCGCCAGTGTGATGCGGCTATTAAGCTTTGTGTCCACGATGCCAGAAATCGGCCCGAGATCTAGATTCGAAAAATAAGCAATCAATTTATTTGCAGCTTTTACGGAAAGGCAACAGTTTTATTGGCTACACGTTTCTCGAATCGAGATCTCGGGTTGATTTCCAGTATCGTGGACATAAGATTTTACACAAGGCAGGACTTTCGTTCCTTGCCGTTCGGTTTTTGTCAGCGATCTGGCTTCGAGACAGATGCACGTAAAGAAAGGAAGAAACAAATAGAAGAGCAAGAGAAAAGAATGTTGCGTGAGAGGATTCGTTCGTGAAAAAATATTAATCTCCGCACACAGATGAGAAGTACCGCTCGTCGTGGTGCTTTTATTCTCATGCCGTTACGCAGGCAGTTTTAACTATCGAGCAGTCGCGATCGAAAATTGGCGAGCTTTCCGGCGGCGATATTTTTCTCCGCGTGGGATAACGGAAGAAACGGATAATATATTGCGACGACTCTCCCCTCTATCGATTTTTGTGCTGGCGTACAGCGGGAGCGTTGTAAAGGACTCGGTGGCGGTCGAGCGTCCCCGAGGAGTATCTTTTATCGTCGCGATTCTACCGCGGAAGAATCGATTAAAATTATTACACGCACATGGAGCAGGCGGCAACGCACCGCTTTGAATTTCGTCCATTCCCATTGCTCAAATAGGTGCGTTTGTTTTCAGGGCGATAGCGGCGGCCCATTGGTGCAGTACGGTCGTCTGATAGGAGTAGTGTCCTGGGGATTCGGCTGCGCGGATCCAGCATATCCCGGGGTGTACACGCGTATCGCGGCTCTTCGTGACTGGATAGAGGAGAAAACCGGCGTGTGAGTGAGTGTCAATCGTTCGATCTGCCAGTTGTGTCGGAACAAGGTTCGCCTTTTCGCAAGTTGATATTGCGGGTCGCTTTATTTAGAAAAGAAAAGGCGATAACACAGAATATTCATTTTCGTTGTTCTTCTTTACTTTCTCGCAAAAATTATCGCTCTCTACTTCAATTTCAGTGTTCTCTACTTTCAGTGTTTAATAAAGGAACTTCTCTTGTAACGTACACGCAAGAGCCGCATGATATTATCTCAGTTGCAAAATTATCATTCAAGTGGTAAATTTTTCCGATCTTTTTCGTCTCAATAAATCTCTCAAGTCGAAAAAATTTCTAATTATTCGTTAATCTGTAGTTGTACACTGAGAGAAAAATTATTTAAAAAATAGTAAATATATATTTGGTATATTAACCTTTAGACTGCCTGGGAAAGCCACTTTTGTGGTTCTGCACAAATCTCAAAATTCTACGCCATGTGTATGTTACTTATATAGAAAAATTTTTGAGAAAAAGAAACCACTTTTTTAATGAAAAAATGCTGGCAACCTAAATGTTAATAACATAATTTACTTATACTAATATAAAATATCTTTCAAATAAGAAAATGCATTTTCTTAAAATCTTAAGAAAACCTTGAATTTTCACGAAAACAATTGTTTATATTATTTAAATAAGAGAGTTTAAATTTAATTTAATGAAAGGAATATTTATTATTTTCTAGATATTTTTTCTTTTAATGTACTTGCTTCATATAGCAAGAAATATTAATTCAAACATAAAATCTCGTAAATCTCGCAAATGCTTTGTTTGCGTTCAATAGTGCTTTAAAATAATTGGGCACTCAACTATTATTATGATGGATAATCTCTATTGATACTTATTGATATCTATCTAGTGATATCTATTAATATCTATTGATGATTGAAATTAAGAGCAAGAATTAAGTGCAGGTAAGATACTGAGATAATGAAATATCATATAATTTTAAGCTTTTCTCTTTAGCACTCAACATTGCAGTAATTATTTATAGGTAGGAACAAGGTAAAACAATAGCTCTCTCTCTTTCTCTCCTGTAGAACATTATAATATATCTCTTGTAGAATATTTTAATATATCTACGGAATTTTCAGGTTTAATTTGGAATGAAAATTTCGATTCGGGATAACGCGCGTAGGTAAATGAAAAACTTATGTGTTATTAAATCTTTAATGGTCGCTAAAAGGATTTTAAATGCCGCTCGTTAATTCCACACAATCAGGCTCGCACGGACGCAAATGAACTGCTGGGTACAAATTTGTATAAACTTTTAATCCTTTCCATTAATTGGTGCGCGACGGAATATCGACGGTGAATTAATGATCAACCGCGGCGACGTGTCGCACGCCGGAAGTTTCGGTTTCGAAACGTGACAATTAAGCCACACTCCAAATCGGAAGTACGGCACATTCGATGCCAGTGTTAAAATTAAATGGTATGCTCGAGGTACTGTATTCATGACTTTATCAACGAGCGAGTACGCACGCGGCAGGTCGAAATAATTGATTGCTAGTCCGTTGTTGCTACGCTAAATCTTTATGAATATGCATCGAGTATTGACGAAATCACGTAATGTTTGAGTTCCAGTAGTCGCCTATTTGCGCTCAAGCGGCTATTTTCTGTGTCGTTCTCGGCCGGGCGAACATACAACGAGAACGCGGCACAATATCATGGATGCAAAACCGATGTTCTCCTTTAATCTAATTTTTAACTACGACAGTAAATCAAATACTGCTTTTAACAAAGATATTTCGTTAATGGAGATAAAGTAGCAGACAATTTTGCGTGTTCTCAACATATATTTACGTCAATCTGCAGAATTTGATTTGTTAATGTAGCACAATGTTCTAATTAGTGTAAAACTAATTGGAACCGATCATAATATTTACATGTGCTGTCTCACACGTAATTAATACCAGAGTTTGCAAAGATCCAAGGTAAGTAACTGCTGATACGAGTATACACTCCCGGATGTATCGTAGTTTCGCATCCTAATCCGTAGGATAGGACACCAATCAATATCTGCTCCGATACCAAAGGCGCACCTGGATCACCCTGTAGACAGTGATATCGCGATAATTTTGATTGCAAGAAGCTGTGCTATGAAACTGTTAAGAATCGACACGTTCAAAATTGAATTTTCGTACAAGTTTTGGTTATCATAAATATTTTTCATATAATCTTTATGTTCTTATTTGTTATCATAAATAAAAAACGATATTCAATCAATAAATGGTTAAAATTTTCTATAACTAACACCATCGGTAAATTAATAATCAAAATTAATCAATCGTCATGCATAAAATCACAAATAATTTTATGTGCTGATAAAATTAATTAATAAGCAATATGTAATTAGTTAAATCAATATTAGTCAAAATTTGATTAATAATTTATTTCATCGATCGCGGTAATTATTTGCGATTTTATATGTGACGATTAATTAATTTTAATGACTGATTTCCCGATTATTTTAGTCAAAGGAAGCATGTATTTTCAACATGTAAAAGCATTTATAATTCTGTGTAATAAATACTTTGCAAAAAAATCAATATTTTGTCAGTAAAGTTTTTAAATTTGGTGTTTTCTTAAACTGAAAAAATGTTATAAATAATTCGTTTACGAGTATTTGTGAGAGAAAATTGATTAAGTTTGATGATTGATTTGGTAATTATTTTAATCAAAGAGATTTTAAACCGATTAATGTCAAATATTGTATTCCTTTATCACGTTTTTGTTTCTCAAATTTCAGCAACGCGTCTTAAACTGAAAAAAATCTTACAAATAGTCTGTTTGCGAGTACTTGTGAGAGAGAATTGATTTATTTTGATGATTAGTTCGTCGATTATTTTATTAAAGAAAATTTTCATTGATTGATACACAACATTGTACTTAATGTTCCGATTTTTTTAGTTTCTTCTCAACAACGCGTTTTAGATAAGGAAAGATTTACAAATAGTTCGCTTACAAGTACTCGTAAGATCTTTGTCCACATTGCGTGAACACAATTCAGTTAGGAGAACGTTGTACCAAACTCTCTTATTCTGTAGCTCCGCGCTCTATGCTCACGTTGCGAAATAACGGGAATTTTTCTAACGGACGCGGGTCTTTTCGCGTCTCGCTCGCGGTGCTTCGGCATCGTGTGGAAATTGCGTTCTCGAGTCAAGTGGCGCATTGTTCACCGATCTGGTGCATCCGACACCTGAACCAGCCGCGTGTGTACTTGCGGAAAGACTATTGACTCCATCGACGTAATTGTACACTCGTGGCCGTGTACAATCGGAATTCGACCGAACTAGCGTGTACCGCTCTTAATTTACGCGCCTCGCATTTTCCACCGGCAACCCATTCTCGCGAGAGATTATTACGCGCGAGTTTCAACCTCGACCCGTGCATGCACGAAATACTTGAGATTACCTGAAAATCTCAATAATCATAATCGATCGCACCGTAACCACGGACAATCCGCCACTGAAACAATCGTTATCGTGATTCATCCCCGGTATTTTCGGTCAAATAAACGTATTAGCCTTCTCGGTAATTCTGCCGTCTTGTTTGGAGATGCTCCAACAGGCTAATTGCACCTGACATCCGAGCGCATGCATCCGGCTCAACGGCACGTAGACGATGCATGTAGACCATGCCACGCGTGCCGAGTGTCGTGACGACGAGATGCCTCCAACACCTCGGTACCGTCGGGCCTCCCGAGACGGTCGTCCGGGGTTGTCGCGGGTTTGTTCGCGCGAGCCCTCCACGGATCATCGCGCCCGCTCGAGTTGTGTCGCGTCCTCTACCTACAATCTCATGTTCCTCTCACCTGACACGTTTTCGCGCCGTGGCTCGCGTTACCGGCGCACAGCATCTCCTTAGACAACGGCTTGTACCTCGGCAGCATCTTGGCGCACGTATCGTGATTTACGATCGCCACAGCGGCCGCTGTGAGCACGGCTCCGGGCGGACGCTCCTGGAAATTTGGCACGGCTAGCACGTTTTTACGACACGTTTCTCGTTATTGTAATCTTGAAGCTCGAGAGCCGGCGCGGGACCGAGCGAACGTTTTGCGACAGTGTTTCGTAACGATTTACTTGGTACCGACGTGACTTTGAATAACGTCGCGCCCGGGCGCCAACCATCGCCGGCGGAGAGTCGCGGGAAGTTTGCATATCCGTGCTGCATTCGCTGTAAAAATCTCGTTCCTGACGTTGTTACGAAGCGAAACGTTTGTGCCAGTAGTGGTTCGTAGGAGAACGACCGACGAGTTATGCGCTCTCCAGGTGTCGTAGCACCTGGACGCCCGAACGATAAAGCGACGCTTTTCACGCCCCGAGTTTGTTCGACTGTGAAAATTTGAAAATAAACCGCGCGCGTGTTACTCGATATTTACCGGTGTTCGCTTCCAGCCAGTCACGACACACGCTGCTCCATCGCGGTCTACTTGACTTCCTTTCTCGGGCAGCCCGATTGGAAGCAACTTTTCTCCAAACTCTGCGGGAATTTTCAGCTACAAATTCGACAAATGCCGTTTGTGTTACATACATACGATAAAGCCGATCGAACGCGTTTGGGTCACTGTGTAACTTCCACGAACATACGCACCTTGATAAGCGCTATATCGTTGAAGTACACGTATTTGTCGAAATTTTGATGCACCACAACGTTGCTTATCTCCAATACGTCGCCACCGGTAGAAACGACCGATGTACGGACACGCACGGTGATCATCGGCAATCTTGCCCTGTGAAACACGAGAGAACGTATCAGCAGAACGCTTTATTCTAGTGAAATTGAAATTTAGAATTTAATCCTTTCAAGACGGACTGAATGGGTCAAATGTGTCTAAGCGATTTTAACTACATGAAATTTCCTGAAAACCTGTACACTCTGACCGGCGGGTCTCTAGTGGGAAAAAAGTTTGCGCAGAGGAGGCCTACAGATCAGAAGCCTGGTGGGACCGGTTAGTTTCTACTCATCTGCCAAGCTATTAAAGTCTCCGGTGGACACGAACGAACTATGAGTCCAGTTTTCATTGATGAAAAGTCAAAAAAGTTAAAAAAAGAAAACTATTTTTCTGGTTTTATTATGACTATGGTTCTATTATGAGTATTCATTTTTCTAGTAAAAATAAACATATTTTTAAATTTTGAATAATTGATGCTGTCATACAATTTTTTGCGTAAATTATTTATGAAAAATTATTTTTAAGATGTGAAATATGAAATGTTTTTCCTTGTACTTATAATGCTTATAAATGTCTATATTTGATAATATATTTAATATAAATAAAAAATATGCGAATTATTTTTTTCTTATTTCAATTATTTTTTTCTTATTTTCTTTCAATGTGTTATTTCTCCTATATTATATTCTGTTTTTATGCCTTCTAATATTTACTAGAGTGCTAAAAAATTTATAGTTTCGAAATTGGTCTTATAAAAAAATATTTTGGAAGTCATTTAGTACAAAGCTTATAGTCGAAGAAAGAAATTATGGAGTAATTGTCATTCAGAAAAAAATAATTATAATTTTGAATGACAATTATTCCGTAACTTTTTAATCCAACTATAGATTCTGTAGTAAAGAACTTCCGAAGTATTTCTTTTATAAGTCAAATTTTGAAAATCTATAAATTTTTTAGATATGCCATGCTAAAAAACAAGACAATTTCTCTTCATAAAATAATAATAAATATTCAAAATAAAAATAAATGTTCAAAATAAACTGTTACCTAATTTAATAATGTTGGCAGTTAATTTACATTTCAATGAATTTTTTTAGAATTTTCCGAGTACCTTAGTGTTATTTAATATAAGGCGTGGACACAATAGATTTATAAATCCGGTTTACGTTAACAGAAAACAATAGACTGGTTTGAGAGTTAGTCGCAAGATGTGTGGACATACGTAACAACGAGAAATAGGAAGCCAAGGGAAATTATTATTGTTGAGGGTAAAGTCGGTTTCAAATCCACGCGGGAATTCCAAGTCAAAATTTTAATTTTACTTTCAGCCTTACTATTCTATTCAACATCTATTTTGATACTTTGCAATCTCTTTTGATTCTATTCAACCTATCCGAGTCGAAATTCTGATCCTACTTTCAACTTCACTGTTTCATTCAATACTTATTTTGACGCTAAAGAAAGTAAAAAGGGAAATTTCAAACATCATCAGAGTCAAAGGAGAAGTAAATTGTATCATTAGAATTCAACCTACTATGTTAAGTTAATTTCTAATGTTGCATTGTAGAATTCAAAGTTTAATAGAGAGCTAAAATTCCAACTTAAAATCTCCCAACGAAATTAATACCGCGAACATTGCCGATATATTATTGTGTACTTTTCGCAGCGGCACATACCTAAAAACGCAGGATGCCACGGTTATAATCCAGGATTCATGTATGAATGCGCCGCTGCAAGCGTGTTGTTCTGCTATTTGGATCGATACCTGTATTGAAATAACGAATTCTATCTGAAATCCGATTTATTCGAAAATAATAGCGGCTTACAGTCACCGTACTGCACTGACTACCGATTAAAGCCACATGTGAATAGCGTGCAGTTTTATTTGTCGGCATGATGTTACGCGTAGTATATGAAAAAAAGAAGGAAAAAGTTATTAATTTCTCTCACGTGGTACGGGTAATCCGCGATGTCCACATATTGCTGCTTTTCGGTATTAATGACTGTAATCACAATTTATGTAAAACAATTCGATCTGGAAAAGCGCGAATACGTGTAGAAATGCATGTTTCGACTCACTGTGTACTAACAGAGCACAGAGTAACAGGATAAATTTTTTCGACATTCTTTCGCACTCGTGCGATCCGCCACGACTAATGGTTCTCGCTGAGATTACTCGGATTGAGTCGCAAAACTCTTCACAGGCTAGTGAGTAATCTACTTTTTTCGACGATAAATCCTCAGTGTCTCGTTATCCATGTCCGTGATCGCGTGGAGAGCGTTATCGCGAGTATATGAAAGAACACCGCGCGATTGATTTGGAGATCGTCTCTCGTCCAGTTGAAGAAATAATAGTTCGCCCAGATAATGCTTGTACAGTGTCGAGCTGTGCGGTTTACCGAACCATAAAATATGTGAGCGATATCCTATCGGCCGGTAATGGTAAAATCGTGTCAAGATGATATTAATAACTAATTAAATATCCGAGGCGCAATTTCGTTGTGTGTGAAGCGTCTTTTATAACGTATAGCGTTTTCATCTTTAGGACGCGTTGTTTAATCAAAGACTTCGAGCTTATTGGAATGTACTAAAATACTTGTAATATCGACGCTCATTTTATTTACTTCACGTTTATGTATAAATATATACGTAGCATTACTTGCTAATCCTAAATTTATTCCGATCCAATGTCTATTTTCTGATGCTGATGAGGATTATTGTAACGATTCTAAGAGGTAGTTTGTCCTTATTCCCGCAAGTAAAGCTACTTAAAGGCATGTCTTACTAAAATGATCTAATAATCTTATTTGCGCGTCTGCTATGTAGCAAATATAAATTCGTGAAATATATAAAATACGTCAAATAAAATACTTTCAGAAACCTCAGAAGTGCTAAAAAAGTATGAAATAATATTCTCAATTTTTCTACGAACCTACAATTCTATAATATTCCTATAATATTCCTCGAATATTCTAACAATATTAGAAGTTGATGCAAAAATACTGCCTGTAAGTCGATGTCTTTTTTATTATTTTCACCTCTCTACAGTTATATAGTCAGTAACTTAATTTATCTTCCTCGCGTCGATTTTTAATATCGTTAGAATATCAGAATAATATTGCAGTTACACAGAAATATTGAGTCGAAATTATTTCATATTTTTGGGATATTTTGAGATTTTTGAAGACGACTTATTTATATTAAAAGTCTCTTATCTCGTATTTTTCAATTATTTATTGAAAGCTTTTTTTATGTTGGTTAAAAATAAAAATTTCACCTCGTATTTCTGGATGTTTTCGGATTTTTTATAAACTAATGGAATTATCTAATTTTCTGGTCACTTATGCATAAATTCGGATAATGACACTGATCTAAGAATCACGTAGATAACATTGAGTAAGCTATAAAAAGTTTCATCTTAATAATCTTTATTCTGAATTCTATCTTATCGATAAAAGTGCTTCTAAATAGCCCAATCACAAAAGACTAATGAGTCACATTTAAGGTGTGTTCGGGCAGCTCGCTATTAGCGCTACCGTGTCATTTTATCCTTAAGTATATTTAAGGAGCGATAAAGATAGAAGAACGCGGTAGCGTTGATAACGTGCTCCCCGAACGCACCCATAGAAACACTTTTGCCGATAAAAAGGGGTTCAAAATACGGACCAATATCTATAACGGTTCTTTAGCTGAGAGAACATACGAACGAACATAGATACACAAACTGAGAATGTACTTTCTCCGGAGTTGATTAAAATTGTCGAAACTGTTTGCAGTGTCTTCGCCAGCAGTATCATATTCGCCATCAATTTCCTATTGAATATTCACATATGATTTTCTACGCTCGCGAGAATTGGAGTTGCGCTAACAATGGGTGAGCAATTGTCAACGGTTAAATACCGCTGATCAATTTTATCCATGGACGAACGGCCGCGACGTTGGTGTAAACGCCGGGATAATCCGGTCTAGCGCATCCGTATCCCCAGGATACAATTCCATAGAGGGTGTTATTGGCGCTGAGAGGCCCGCCCGAATCGCCTTGGCACGCATCCTTGCCGCCCTTTTGCAAGTAACCCGCGCAGATCATTCTGTCGGTGATGTTGCGGACGAACCAGTATTTGAGTTTACAAGTATTTCTGTCTACGATTGGGAGCGATACTCCCATTAACACCGGTGACGTCCATCCACCCGGCTGAAATAGAAAATCAATTAACTGTAAGTGGACTCTTTGTGCGATACGACGCGAATATTGCGATCCGAAATAATTAACGTGAGGATGTGTCGGAAAGATCGCGGAGTTCATATTATTACCTATGACGCATATAACGTTTAATTAATACGATTAATTATCTTGCTCTTAAAATCAGACATCGGCACCCAGAAATGGCGGAATTGATAACAATTGTCGGATAATAAGGTTACTATTAGGGGAGAATAAGCAGCGAAAGTTGTGCATTTGTCTCGCGGTTCGGAACGGCAAGCCCGCGGTCGAAGTAATTTAATAATGTCACCGTAATATAATACGCAATACCTTTGATATACCCGCAACGCGATTTAGTATTATAGCGCGGGGATATTGATTTTTTGACTGCACACACCGCAACAAGCGAACGTGGCGATCGAGACGGGTCTCGATTTTCGACGCGGTATACCGCTCCCGCGAAATCCTCGAATCACGCGAGCGACTGTGGCAAATTCGCAGTTGTTGTTTAGCTCCACCTGTTTTCTAACCACATTCTCATAATGAATCTGTTCGCCGTAAACTCACCATTATCGCACCCCATCCAGTAATGTTCACCATGATGCCGCTCTCAAGTTCCTTTTCCGCCAGCTTTACTGGCTGCATGTTACTGTTAAATCTGACTTCGTCATCGAGCTGAAATGAAATTTCCAGAGCGTGCGAGAGCTACCGATGTTGTTATTGTCAGCTGGTGCAAGCCGTTAGCGAATGGAGAAAGGTAGAGAAGGAAGGAGGGGAGAGGGAGAGAGAGAGAGCAAGAGAGAGAGAGAGCAAAAGAGAGAGAGAGAGAGAGAGAGAGAGAGAGAGAGAGAGAGAGAGAGAATTAGGTAGTACATACTTCGAGGAGGGCAATATCGTAGTCGATCGTCATAGGATTGTAACCTGGGTGTCGAACAATCCTTTTAACTTTATAATAGGAGCCCTCGTATTTGTCGTTATTTCCAGCATTCAGTCTGTAAAAGTTAGCCGGCGCTCTGCAACGGAACGGAGAACGTGAGCGCGTATAAACTCCGATATGAAAATACCGGTGATAACCGCGCGCTGAGCGAGCCGCGCTATGACAATATCGACAGAACGTTTACGGGCAGATGTGCGACCGCACTCGCAATCGCAATGCGGATGATCGCGCAAACGTGCCTACAATTCTCTAACGTGCATCGTTATAACGCGACAATTGCGTTGACGACGAACTTGAGGCGATACTGGGACTCGCGAGTAATCAAGGATCGTATTTCTCGGCTGACGATAAAAGCGAGATCGTTCGTGGATTTCATCTGGCAACGGATTTTCGTGTTTCTTCAAGGATTTTACGTTATACACAGAAAAAAGAGATCCCACTGCTGCAATTAATCACGGTTTACTGATAATGTTCTTGTTGCTGTGATTAAAAATTTGCTGTATCAGTTTCATAGCTAAATATATGCTTACAGGTGCACACAAATAAATATCATCCTACTACTAAAAAAAGCGATTATTTAGTTAATTTTCCTTCTTTTAAGCAATAGTTATCTCAAAGAATAAGAATTCTTTTTATAATAATATTAAAATATACCCACCAACACATTTTAGAAAAGCTCATTATTATTTACTCAAAAGAAGAATTTATTCTTTTTACAAGAATATTATAAAACTTTGTCAAAGAAAAAGCTAGTCCGACTTTATTTAGTTTTTAGTTTTTGTAATAAACAAACTAGAATTTTTGTTTTTGTTTAATATTCTTGATTAAAATACTAAACTTAACTGAGATTTAAATTATTATTTCTTGAATAAAGTTTATGATGAATTTATGATAGATTTGTGGACATATAAATTTAAGAAATACTTTAAACAAATAACGTTTGTTTGAGTGTTATATGCGTTTTTTTATGTGCAGATATATAGATATGCAGATATTCTCTTAAGTATGTTATAAAATGATATCCATATGTTGTAAAGAGATTTAGCTATCATGCATAGATTCTTGCTAACTTTGTTTTCCTTGTACTTCTTTATATTCATTATGTTTGATCGCTTAAATGTCAAGAATGATTATATGAATGCTGCGATTTTATTTAAGGTTTGGCGAGGCTTGGCGAGGAAGGACACCAAATTACAATTGAAAGACGTTTCAGAGATAAGAGCGACAGTTATTATCCCGTAGGTTTCTTGAAGGTTTCGAGATTTCGGCTTAAATTGAGATAATCCGAGACGCTCTTAATTAAACGGGTCTCGAAATATACGTGGTTGGCCTCGCACGTGGGATTTGGCGCAAGGTATGAGGCGATGGTCATGATAAGGTGCGTCGAAGAGAGAAAGAAATACATACGTTACGCAATGAGCCGCAGTGACAACCCAGTTCTTACTGATGATGGAGGCGCCGCAAATATGAAAAATTTGCTGGACGCTCATTTGATAAGGATGTTGGCTTATGTCAACTGTCATGCCTCCCACAATCCGAGGATCAAAAAGAGAATCCACCCGCTCCACGAAGGATGCTGTGATATTAAATCTGATGGTAGAATTTGTCTCCGGCCGCTTCAGCAAAAAAGTTGGCCCCAGATTGCGGCGGATTCGTAAATCACGCGAGGATTCGGTTGACTTTATTACGCGCAGCGCTCTGTAGCCTTTTAAACTTTCCTCTTTAAAATGGGTCGCGTTAAGGATAATAAAAAGTACGGCTGAAAAAGTTCCGTCTGGTAAGTTGTACCGATTCTGCCGCGTGTATCGCGCGCCGTTATTCATCGTGAAACTGAACGTCAGTTAAATTTCGTTTGTTCAAGTGATGCACGAGCGAGAAGTCGGTTTACAGAGATACAAATTGTTTGTTAAATGAGTTTGCAAACGTACCGCCCGCGACCGGAGCGTGTTATTGTAATAGATAACTACTATCGATCTCTTTTACTCACCGAAACATCCGGCAAGGAGGAGGCCAGGAACGAAGCTTTGCAACATCTCACTAGTATATAGAGATTGAGTACACTCACCGGCTTTTATACCGGAGTCGTGTTTCTCAGATCTTGCGAAAAATTCTTATCTCGCGACGACGCAACGCAGCTTGTTCGATATTACCGAGTAATGCACGGAAGTTTTGTTGCGAAGGAATGTCATGTAGAGGAATGAGGAAACTATTTTTATCGTAATATCGTAAGATATCGTAATACCGAAACATTACGATATATTCAAGACATTTTAACTCTTTGTAGTCGAAATATAGAATATAGGATATAGGATCGGGAATAGGATATAGGATTGGGGATGAGAGTCGAATTACGATCGTGGCGTATCAATACAATCATAGTTTACATGAGAAAATAATGCATGATAGAACAGAGCTCAGCACGCGTTGCATATTTCGGTTAATTTTTTACTTGTCCGCCTATTATCTCATCACCCCGCCCTCACGAGCCGCTTAAGACATAGAAATGTATGATTTTTAAATATATTTTTTCAATAGCTTTTCATTATTAGAAACAAATGCATACAAGTCATACGTTCCTGAGCAGCTTGTAAGTTGCGCGCAAGACAATAAGGTAAGGGAAATAGCACTAGGTAGAGCAAATCGAAAATCGACCGTAATGTGCAACACGTAACGAGCTCTGTGATAGAATGTATACATATACAATATACATAAATACTTATGTATATTATTATATGTAAGGGATATTTGATAATTTAAATTGTAACTGATGTTCGTTTTACGTTTATACGAGACAGTGGCTTAGTAGATACAGAGTTATTGTTATTAAACGAAGAAACAAGGGATGAATAGTCGGCTGTAGGGCCATCAAAGACAGGATAAATAGGACGAAAAGATGAGAACAAGGGAATTCGAGCTTTAGACTCGGACCTAAGATGAGACGTGAGCGCAAATTGTAAAGCTGCTCAAATAAACTTAGATTAGTCAGTTTGACTAGATAAACGCTTTAAAGTATTAATTGTCTGCTCCAGAATGCTGTCATTAATAGATATTTGACTCACTTATTGTTATCTCGCGAAATCTTGGCCGCGACAATATTTTATTATGTCTTACAATTATTTGTCAGAAGTAGGATTGGATCTCGCTAGCAAAGATTTTAAGCAGTGGAGAGCAGAGGTGGATTTGGTGAACTAATTATAAAAAAGTTGCGCAGCGCAAGTACCGTTATGTAAATCATACTTATGACTATCACGAATTTTATATGAGGATTTGGGAAGGTCACATATGAAGGTCAAAGAGTGATGAAAATCACCGCTATTACTAAATTTGTTTTGAATTGATGATACTTTATGATATTTTATGGTAGGAGAATTCGCGTAGACAAAGATTATGAATACCTTGAACGTGCGTACGATTTCTTGAAAAAAAATTTATTGAAAAGATTCGGATTGTATTTTTATTGCGTATTAGAAATTCGAGTCCACGGGATGCAATCTGTCAAGTTACCTGAGTATAAATCTGATAAATTCTCCCTAAATTATGAATCTAAAAGTGAATTTAATTATATATTAAGAATTTAACTTATATATTATAAAAATTTAAATGGCGGATTTCACATGATGGATAGAAAGTTGGACAAAATTCTGATATGAGACGTGCTACGTTAATTCAATTGTAATTGAATTGATTAAATTGATTCTAACGTAAAAATGGTCGAAATGGTCTTTTTGGCACTTTAAAATTAGAATATCTCGGAAACCTGAGGTGATGGATTAATTTGAACTACAGATTTGGTTTTAGTATGTCGAAAATCTTCGGAATTATATACTGCTGTTTCTCAATCAAAAACCAAATATTTTTTTGTAGGCCTGTATTATTAATACACAAGCAAAATATTGCCAAATCTTTAATTATTAACGAGGAATTTTTAGCAGAGTATAAATTAACGTTGAATCAGATATTTATGAAGCATTATGTAAGACCAGAATAACCTTTTCCATTTTTGCCATTTTTAGAAATGGCAAAATGTACTACCACTAATAGGTCTTATTCTCTTTTACATATTTCATAACCTAATAATTCAATATTTGTGCAGCAGAATTTGCATTTATCCAATCTTAATTTCATTTTATTTTTTATTAATAATTAAAATATTTTTTTAACATCTCGAAATGATAACCTAAAATTTCTGAGCTTACTAAAATATCGTCAAAATATACAGAGAAGGCGCATCGATTTCATCTTTTCTGTCTTTATTGGTAAAAACGCGTGATGTATAGAGTTTCTTTGGTTTAAGTTCATATAATACAGCGTTATTTGAGCATCATGCAATGGATCCATTGATGAATTAAAAAACTCGCCCATAGTTTTCCTCAAAAATCACTTCTCTGTTTATCTAGACTCTAATGGAAAATATTTAGTATCGATCTATTGAATAAAGTCAAATTTAATCGAATCAAAGTGGAATTAAAGGTCATATTAATAGTTATTATTTGAAACTTGTCTCATATGAGATCTCTTAGATTTTTATTCAGTATTAGATCCAAAATTTTTAATTAAATTATATAATATACGTGACATTAGATTGTAATTACGATTCAATTGGAAAACTTTTATCTGAATTCAAATCTTACTTGAGAGAAATTTTAAATAACGACAATTAATAAAGATCTAAGCATAGAGATCTAAGTATAAAGGGCGTTGTGATAGGAGCGCAACTACTTCAATTTCGTGGACATCGATCATTTTTGCGTTGAGCAACTACCATTGACACCTGTAGCAGTCAATAACCGCTATTCCGTAGCAGCGGATCAATAGGTGGCGTTAATATCGACTCGAACTGCGCTCCGAGCAAGGTTTCTTTGCCGCGCTGTTATGCGACGCACACTGCAATAGCCTTCTCGAGAAAGAATTAGGGACGCGACGTTTATATAAGGTAGGCGCCGCGGGCGGTCCATCATCAAATCATTCACTTCACAACGGTCAAGAAAATCTACGGATGCCTATAGAGAGATCGACCTGGCGATGGATAAACGCCTCTTCAAGGGCATTGAAAAGCTCTTGAGCTGTGAAGCACCTTCAATCATACGCGTAGAGGAAGCGCCAACCATCACGACGAGGACATCTCCAACGAAGAACGTGGTTCATTCAAGCTGAATTTTTTCCAGAGCTTTTGAGCCTCGAGATTCCTCCAAGATCGGAGAACTGGGCGATCTCTATGCTGTTGATCGTTATTTAGGAAGGTGAACCTCTCATCAGCACAATCTTCCGGACAACGGAAGACACTTTCTCTGTTCTTGGTCATCATCGTAGTCACTGGTTTCGTTATCCATCGACAGGCAGTCGATATATGGAACAAGGATCGTCCAGACACTAGAAGTGATTCCCGTCACCATCGCGGTCGTCGTTCATTTACGGACAGTATATAGAGTAGGAACCGTCATCGCCGCAAGTGCAGCAGCCGCTGGAGAACCAGCCGGGGCGGGCAATTAGGAAGCTTCGCTCGGAGGTAACCCTACTACCTTGAATCCTCCGAAAGCTGGAATTCGTCTATCCGCAGCTCACTCGGCCAACTGTCAACTTTCTCGTCCGCTGGGAACCAAGCCTGGACCGTTATCGCCGAGACACAAGCGGACACGAGATCAACAGCCTGACCACACGAGGCACCTTATGGAGCCCTGGGAGAAAACGCCCGATCACTCGAAATGACGACGGAGGAGAGGAGCTCGCGACATTTACGGCTTGACGGAAAATCTGTGTTGTTATTATTCTTATTATGTAAAAATAATGTTCATGAATGAAAACACCAAATATTGGACTGAGAATATAATGTTTTTAAGTGTGTATTATGCCCCAGATTTTTCCCTACTCACTTATAAATAAAAACTAATATATTCAAGTTAACAATAATTGTTTTTTGTATATAAAATAATTTGTTTCCTATATGAGCAACGTTATATAATTTAGAAGAAGAATTTTCTTAGAAGAATTTTATCATTTTGAATTAAAACAATTATTCGTTGAATTGAATGTAAAATGTACTGATCACACGTAACTTATGTTTATTTAATCATTAAATGAATCATTTAATTCTTATGTACACTTATTTGTTAAAGCGACTCGCTGAATTTAACAGAAATGTGTTTATGTGTTTAAAAATTTGTATCAGAATAAGATCGACTTTGACCTGGAGGTAATTTAGTGAGTGTAAAAAGCACGGAATGTTTATGAAAAATATTTAAAATAATTGATTCTTTATTACGTTGGAATCAATACAATTTACTTGTAAATTGTAGCATGTGGGATTTTGCTTGTACATGTGTGTGCTATTGGATGAAATATTTTGCTGCAAATAATAAACAGAATCAAAAAGTATCACGAAGAAAGCAACGTAACGAACCTCTTGTTATTATTTTGCTCACGAAGTAATTTCTTCGATGACTAATTCTATGATGATCAATTTTCTATAGTATCCTTCATAAGATTTAATACTGCTCGGTAAGTAAACTTCACGTAAGAAAATATAAGTTGCAAATATAAATAAAAGTTTTTTGCTCATTTACGCATCGTAATTACGTTCTTTAGAGAAAATCGTTGACTTAAATTCGAGTAATTATTATAAAAATATATTTCGCAAAGATATTGCGGAGTAGCCTTCGCAGCAAAATTGCGAAGATACCTTTGTAGAAGATATTGTGAAGTTATCCTACGTAAGAATATCACGCCATTCTCATTTTATCTATGTATAGCTTTGATGAATTTTACAAATTGCGCAATCGATCTTCAGTTCGTGTTTTTCACGCGATTTGTGAATCGAGGATACGTCGAAATATCAGAATTTCTAGAATCGCGAATGTGCTTGTAAAATTCAAGGTTTGTCATATCGTGCTAGACATTACATTTATATTGAAAGAATTCATAAGGTCTAATTTCGTCTTTCGTTATTTGAAGTCATAGAAATTGACTTGAAACATATCGAAAGTTTTCATCGATGCCGCCGTAATGAATTCGTCGAATGTCATTGAAATATAATTAAATATTTATCG